CCCCCCCCCAATAACTAGCAATCCAAAACAGTCCAGTGGAGCCTGAGCGGTGGGTGTTGCCTTCTGCACCTCTTTTTCTACGAAATGACCCCTGCCCCTAGCAATGGTGCCCCAGAGCAGGGAGGGGAGGGTGCTTGTTAAGTGTTGTGAAGTCACAGCTGACTTATGGTGAAGCCACAGTTATTCAAGGCGAGAGACAGTCAGAGGTGGTCTGCCTTTGCCTGCCTCCGCACAGGGACCCTGGATCAACCAGGGCTGCCCCTGCTCAGCTTCTGAGAGCTGACAAGACGGGGCGAGCCTCGGCCATCCAGGTCTTGGGAGTGTGGACCTTCCGTTCCATTTATTCCCCATGGCTAATAGCTGCACCCAGATTTCTCTTCCTTTCCTTCCTTGAGCCACCTTGAGGCCCTCTAATGGAAGGAAGGGGAGAGATGGACATTTTAATTAATGTAAGTAAGAATGGAACTGCCCTCCATGAATCTTACTTCCCTTTTAAAGTAAAGTGGCCATCACTACATCCTATGGCACTCTGTGTCCCAGAACTCCATTCTATGTGCTCTGCAAAAGCATTCCCCTTTTCTCCTCTCCTGCACCTTCTGCCCAACAACTTGCATGGGAAACATGCATGGGAAAGAGCAGGTAGAGAAAGAGGTTCTTTTCTCCCTTTCTCACAATACAAGAACTCTGTGGGCACTCCATGAAATTGCTGAGCGGCCGGGTTAGAATGAATAAAAGGAAGTCCTTCTTCACCCAAAGAGTGATCAACACTTGGAACACTTGGAATTCACTGCCACAGGAAGTGGTGGCAGCTACAAGCATGGACGGCTTCAAAAGGGAATTAGATAAGCATATGGAGCAGAGGTCCATCAGTGGCTATTAGCCACAAGGTATAGATAGGGGCTCTGGGGCAAGTGATGCTCTGTCCTCTTGGTGCTTGGGGGGAGGTCAACAGTGGTCGGACTTCTTATGTCCTGGCCCCACTGGTGGACCTCCTGATGGCACCTGGTATTTCTGGCCACTGTGTGACACAGAGTGTTGGACTGGATGGGCCTTTGGCCTGATCCAACATTGGCGTCCCTTATGTTCTTATTGACTAGATCCCCTGATCCCATCTAGGCAGGAGGCACCCTTACCACTTGGCAGGGCATCTCGGGCATCCTCCTGGGCCTGCGCCCTCTGACCTTCCCCTGATGGAGCTCCTTCTGCCTCAGAGAGCTTCGCTTCCATCTTCACGGATCCTCCCCACATCTGAAACAACAGCAAAAGACACGGGTAAGAGAAGGAATGGAAATATCTAGTGAAATACCTAGAGGTAGAAATGTCTAAGAAAACATGAGAACAGTATATTGAGAAATGATACAATGGAATGGTTCCTCGCTTTTGCTCTGTGTAACAAAGTCTTTGGTTCAAGCTGCAAGAGGCCTTCTCGGACGTTCCTAGAGACAGTTAGAGTTGGTGTGACCGTGCCAGCCAAATAGTTTACAGCTATGGGTAACTTACAATATAGGAACTTACAACAAAGACTGTTACCATACATCAAAAGAGAAATGCCAGATGTTCAAGCTGGATTCAGAAAAGGACAAGGCACTTGAGATCATATCGCAAATTTAGGTCGCTTACTGGAGCATAGGAGAGAATTTCAGAAGAAAACCAGCCTGTGTTTCATAGATGACAGCAAAGCTTTAGACTCTGTGGATCATGAAAAGCTATGGCTGGTTGTAAAAGAAATGGGTGTGCCACAACATCTGTTTCCTTTGATGCACAACCTGTACTCTGGGCAAGAGGCCACTGTTGGGACAGAAGATGGAGAAACAGAATGGTTTCCAAAACTGGCAAAGGAGTCAGATTACAATATAGTCTGTCTCCCTGTCTCTTCAATCTACACGCAGAACATATCATAAGGGAAACTGGATTAGATTTAGATGGAGGTGGAGTGAAAACTGCCAGAAGGAACAGTAACAGTTTGAGATACGCAGATGACACCACGATACTGTCAGAAAACAGTGAAGACTTGAAACAGCTACAAATGAAGGTAAAAGCAGGAAGTGCCATAGTGGGATTACAGTTGAACATCGAGAAGGCAAAAGTAATGGCTAGTCTGGAACTACACAGATGGCAGGTTAATGATGAAGAACTCGAAATAGCTCGAGATTTCCTGTTCCTTGGCTCCATCGGCAAGCAAAAGGGAGACAGCAAGCAAGGAGGAGGTCGAGGCTGGGAAGGGCAGCCAAGGAGGAGCTGGAAAAGGTTCTTCAGTGTAAGGATGTGTCGCTGGTGACCCAGATCGAGTTCATTCATGCCACAGAACTCCCCATTACTATGTATGTGCGTGAATGCTGGACGATGAAGAAAGCTGGCGTGGAGAAAGTCGATTCTTTTGAAATGTGGCGTTGGGAGAGACTTTTTACGGATACTGTGGACTGCCAAAAAGACAAATCAGAGGGTTCTAGATCAAACCAAACCTCAACCCTCCCTAGAAGCTAAAATGACTTAATGAGGGGCTTCCGGTCTGGCTCCCGCGAATGGCGGACGCATCCTCGGGTCGCTCCCGAGGGCGTCTCGCCCGCCCGCGGTGGAGGAGGGAATCCGCGTGAGCGGAGACCCGAACGAGCCCCTCAGGAAGAGAGGAGCTCGGATCCGGGGCGCTTTAGGGCGCACTAGGGTCGGAGACTGAGGCTCCCGCCATGCCCTGCCCCAATGGACCTTGCTGCGTGAGCGACCCCGTTTCACGGGGTTTAGCAGAGCCACCAGACGTCACCGAGTGATAAAGCGATCATCCGGGAAAAAAAGGGAATAAGAAAAGATCGGCTTAACTGTGAGTTGTCAAAATGCAGAGAAAAAGAACTAAAAACGTCTCCCCCCCCCCAGCGAAAAAGGCGAGGAGGTTAACCCTCTATTTGTACAAGCGAAAAAGAAAAGGAGGGGGGGAATGGACTGAGCGAACAGTGATGTTTTCCCTTGATGTATTTGAAATAAAGCGAGAAAACGTTTTGTCTCTCTGGAGCACATTTTAAGAACTTTTTAAAAGTAAACAAAAAAGAAAAGATGTCGGAGCTGGGCAAAACCGAGCGAGAAGAAGGGAGGGACTTCCGTCTGGCGTTAGCTTGTGTGTGAGAGCCGGCTGCTTAATATTTGGACTGTTTATGGCTGTGAATCTGACGGGATTTTTGTAAAACGGAAAAGTTTGAACTGTGACAGCGAGGAGTGCCTGGCAAGCGCTTATATAAGTCAACAGTTGCGAGGAGGACCCAGCAGAGAGTTTGGGAGCGGATAAAAAAGCGAAAATGAAATTAATACCATTCTCAAAGCGGGGGACCTCCTGAAATGGCATGAAAAGGAAGAGGATTTATAGCGCATGAACTAAGAGTGTTAACAGCAACCCGAAGGACGATCGAACAAGCTGGAAGGAGAAGATAACAGAGGAAGCCCCTCCACGTCAGCGACAGTAAAAGTACCCAGCACGCAAAGAAGCGGTTCTGAATGCGCCCAGAAGAGATTTTTTAACAGAAATTCAAAGGAACATTACTAACATACTAACAGAGAATTACATGTGACTGGACTAAGAAAAGAAGTTTGACAACACACAGAAGAAGCCCAAGAAGATTAATTGGACATTACTAACAGTTTAATTTACCAGTTTATATATCACTCAGTTTTCTCTTTCTCCCACTGTCTACCCTTCCCATTTCTTCCTTTAAGCGAAATACCTCCCCTTTTTAGGGGAGTCAATAAAATCTTTATTTAAAAAAATGACTTAAATGAGGCTATTGGACTTTGGTGACATTACGAGAAGACAAGGATCACTGGAAAAGACAATAATGCCAGGAAAAGTCGAAGGTGACAGGAAAACATGACCAAACATGTGCTGGATTGACTCAGTCAAGGAAGCCAGGGCCCTCAGTTTGTGGTACCCAAGCAAGGCTGTTAATGTTTGGACATTTTGGAGGACATTAATTCATCGGGTCACCACAGGTCAGATGCAACTTGAAGGCAGTGAACACAGACAGAGAAATATCTGACAGGAAGCCTTAGGATAAGGTCACTGCTTGAACTGAGTGAATGAAAACTCCTCACCTGCTCTGCCTGCCTCTTCTCCTCTGCCTGGCTCAGGAGGAAGCCTTCGGCCAGGGCCACCGCCTGGGAACTGGTCTCTGGCCCGCATCCTCTGACCCAGCACTGCATGTCCTGGGGCAGGACAGCCAGGAACTGCTCCAGAATGACAAGGTCCAGCATCTGCTTCTTAGTGCGCCTCTCTGGCTTCAGCCAGTGGTTGCAAAGTCCGTGGAGCTGGCTGCAAACCTCTCGGGGCCCATCAGCTTCATGGTAGCGGAACTGCCGGAAGCGTTGGCAATGTCCATCTGAGTTCATGGTGTCCTTAGCCAGAGATTCAACAGCACTCCCAGCTTGGAGAAGAAGGGGGCCTTTGCTCACCATCTTGCCAGTTCCAGGTCCTCCTGGGTCCTGCTCTTCTATCTCCTGCCCCTTCTCTTGAGTCACTTCCAAATGTGAAAAATGCCTTTATCCACTTGCCTATGGAGAGAGGCTTCTCCCTGGTGGGGCAGAGAGAGAGACAGACAGCAATGTGTCAAAAAGAAAACAGAATGGAGATACACCACTGAACATCACAAACCTTCATCTCCTCAAGATGGGTAGCCCTGGTAGTCTGCCTGTAGCAGTAGGAAAGAGTAAGAGTCCACTAGCACCTTAAAGACTAACAAAATATGTGGCAGGGGATGAGTTTCCGTGAGACACTGTTTGCTTCTTCAGATATCTGAAGAAGTGAGCAGTGACTGACGAAAGCTTATACCCTGCCATATATTTGGTTAGTGTTCAATGTGCTACTGGACTCTTTTCTACTTCATATCTTCAGGAGACAAGTGAGAATTGCCCTGGTGGATGAGAACAATAGTGTGTTTGGTGTAGTGGTTCAGCGCATGGACTCTAATCTGGGAGAACCGGGTTTGATTCCCCACTCCTCCACTTGCACCTGGCTGGATGACCTTGGGCAAGCCATAGTTCTGATAAGAGCTGCTCTTGAAAAAGAGCAGTTTCTGTTGAGAGCTCTCTCAGTCCCACCTACCTCACAGGGTGTCTGTTGTGGGGAGGGGGAGGGAAAGGAGTTTGTAAGCCGCTCTGAGACTCCCTTGGGTAGTGAAGGGTGGGGTATAAATCCAATCTCTTCTTCTTCTTCTTGTGGTTTGTAGATTAGGTTTAATATCATTTTGCCATATTACATACCAAGCTATTTTCTGTGTGTCTCCTTGGTTCTCTGGGAAAGTAAGCATCTCTATTTGGCTCTTTAAGGATGTTACAAGCTTAGCTTCTCGTTACATTGGTTCAGACTGCCCAAGGAGCTAATTTGGGCAGGCCCCCTTGACACGAAGGATCCCTTCCCCTGCGATCATGTCTGTGACATCTTCCTGGGCCTCCCCCCAACCTCCCTGGTGGAAGATTTATTTTAATTTCCAAAATTCAGATCCTCCCTTTCAACCCCTGCAGGGGGCCTACAGGGGCTAACAAAGGAAAACAATCAATCAGGAAAAAAAATCACCTTTTAAAACTATTGGACCCCCTCCCCCCAGCTGTAAAGGTTTTCCTTTACAAAGCCAGCCGAATCCAACGGGGTGGGGGGGGTGGGGGCGGTGGCCGGCGTGACTAAATGCCAAGGCTCACAACTTTCCCACCAAAGTAGTACCTATTTAAAAAGGTAAAGGTTCCCTTGCTCGAAAGCCAGTTGAATCCGACTCTAGGGTTGCCGTTTCAAAGCCGAAGAGCCAGCGCTGTCCGAAGACGTTTCCATGGTCATGTGGCCGGCATGACTAAACACCAAGGCACACGGAACACTATTACCTTCCCACTGGGGTGTTACCTATTTATCTACTTGCAATTTCTTGCTTTCGAACTGCTAGGTTGGCAGGAGCTGGAACTAGAGACGGGAGCTCACCCCGTCATGCGGCACACTGGAGTCTCGAACTGCTGAACTACCGACCTTCCACAGCCTGCAGTTCAGCCTCTTAACCACTTGAGCCACCGCAGCTGTTTATCTATTTATCTACTTGCAATTTCTTGCTTTCGAGCTGCTAGGTTGGCAGGAGCTGGGGCCAAAGAACGGGATGCGGCGACAGGGTCTCCAACTGTCCAGCTACGGACCTTCCGGTCTGCAGTTAACAGCGTCTTAACCACCTGAGCCACCGCACCCAAGCCACGCATGCCTGTCTCCCAAGAGGATGAGATGCGGACTTACTTGCAACTGACCCTTCCCAGGACCCGTCTGCCAGGCTTTCCCCTCCTGTTGCCCGGCGGGAGCCCTCCTCGTCCTCTTTCCCCTCTCCGAAGCCTCCCTCCCACAGGAAGAGCCCCTCCCTCGGCCTCTCTAGCAAACCACTCCGCCGTTTTAACCCTTTCAGTGCTGGAGCGCCTGCAAAAGAAATGCTTCCTGTCCTTCTCATAGAAGGGGAGAGGAAGGGAAAGCCGCCCTGCGACTCAGAGGGGGGCAGGGGTACAAATCCAATCTCCTTCTCTCCTCCTCCTCCTCCTCCTCCTCCTCTTCTTGAAAGAAAATACTTGCCGCCAGGAGCCCCCCCCC